TATTGTTTGCGACAATAGAAATTATGGAAGTAAATCCTGTAATTCATTTCANTATTGTAATCATTATTTAATCCGATAACTCTCATTAACAAATTAATACAAGAAAAGACTATGACATTGTCTGAATGAAAAGAAAATTTATAAACACATATTGTTTGCGACAATAGAAATTATGGAAGTAAATCCTGTAATTCATTTCAGTCATGTTAAATTCAAGTAAAATATAAAACAACTACTGAAAACTGCTACACTCATCATCTAAATATGTGATACGTCATACAATTCTCAATTCGAATGCACGTCTTAATAGCACATGAAACACTAAAATTGATCATAAGAGGTCAGGGAATATGAGACCAATACCTCCGCTGCACAAATAAATAACTCATTCAGTGAGATTTATAAGCATGGCTGAAACTACGGCGACACATTTTATACTTCAAATTACTAAAAACAAACAATAAATAAATAAAGCATAGGCGTAAAATTGGAATGAATATACTTTCATCTCATCTTTCATTGCGGAGATCAATCCATGATGATGTGTATGTTTGAATCCAGCATCACGCATACATGTATAAGTCGAAAAGAAAATTCGAGTATTAAACTTAAACTTATAAATCTAGAACTCGAAGCTGCGAGTTTTCAACTATTAACTAATTGCCTGACAAATATTTACTAACTAAATGTTAACTAACTGATTATTATTTATTATCCAATTTTTATTCAGTATTAAGGATGAGCAAAGTGATGGCGCAGCTCACGAGAGCAAAGTCGCCCTCAACCTCAAGATAATGCATAATAACCAGCTAACTAACAATTCACAATCACGTAGTTAATAATCAATTATTTACGAGGTTAAAAGTTTAAAACTCGCAACTTCAACTTCTAAGGATTCGTTTAATACTCGAATCGAGTTAGCGGCTTCTATGCTACTCTAGAAATGAACAATTGTTAATCGAATATATTTTTTGGGTTTACTTTCTTGTAAAAGAAACTACTATTTGCCAAACTTTAGCTCATTATTTCAAAAGTATACAAACGCAAGAGAAGATCAGCAAGGTGGAAAGATAGCTGGAGAGGAAGAAGAAGAAGAAAAAAGATGTCTGTCTGATGTATGTCTGACGTTCAGTCTCGTTTCTTTCTTCAATTTTCCGATACATTTCCTCCGTGAAATGATTACTTCGTATTTGTCGCTAACCTATATACAATAAAATTTAAGCTTTTGAGTATAAAAGAGAAAAAGTAGATCAAGGAAATAATTTTAAGAAACAAGAGAAAATGGGAAAGTAGATATTAATAGATAGTTTCCTCTCATCTTATATGCCACACCATATATTGCTGTCTGACTTTAAACATTTTCAGTCAATATTCCACAT